GCCCGTCGTATCGTAAGCGTTCCTTCCTCTATGCCTTCCTAACTATGCCCAAGGTTTAGCCTTCCCGTCGCATTCGTGCTTAGAACTCGACCTCCTAACGTCGTGCCTGTGCTGATCGTGTAAAAGAGTAGGGTCTAGAAATGACTTTCTGGTGTAAGCGTTGTGAAGAGAAGAATCTTTGTTGCTTTGTGGATACGGCGACTGGCCGTTGTGCTGGGTGTATTTCTGTTGCGGCTAAGTGTAGTTTATTCGTTTTTGAGGAAGAGTGGGAGAAGGTTCAGCGTGAGAAGCGGCAGAAGCAGATTGAGATTGCGCGTTTGAAGGCCCAACTAGCTTAACGCGAGCTAGAACTCCTAGAGGCTGAGGCGCAAGAGCAAGCATTTGCTGATTGAGATGTTGCCATTTTGAATCTTCAGGATCGCGCGAAAGAGCAGGCCGAGGGGAGTTCTGCCCCTAGTACGGACCTTCCGACAACCGGATTACCGCTACCCGAACAGTCGGCTGACTTGGGCTGGTTACAGGCTGACGCTTCTTTCGACCCTTTTTCACTTGATTACTTCCTTTCCCTCGAGAACCTGGTTCTCGCTTCTTTGGATGTTTCCGATGGTACTCACGTACTAGTGACTTGCAGTTTGTTAGGTTTCCTTTAGGTTCCTAAGTGTTGTGGCTTTCGGGCCATCCCTCCTACTTAACTAAGTACTTCCACTAACTGCTAAATTTCCGTAGGTCCTTAATTTCTTCGACCGTATATTCGTCGTCTTCAAGCTCTATGTCTTCTACTAGCTTGGCGTTTTAGGGTGCTAGTTCTAATAGTTTCTTGTAGAAAACGTTATATATGCGCATGCCTGGTGGTAGCCGTAGTTTGTAGTTTACCAGGCCTACCGTCTCTAGGATTTCAAAAGGTCCTAATTGGAGATTGTCTAGTTTCTTGCATGGCCGTTTAGTCTTTAGGTTTTGTTGTGACAAGAAGACTTTGTCCCCCTTCTTAAAGGTTAGTCCTTTAATCCTTTGCTTATTCGCTGCTCTAGATGTTATAAGGTTCCTCTAAGCGATGTTCTTGCTTAATTCTTCGTGTAAATTACGCATTAGTCGAGCTTTATCGTCTGCTCTAACTATGATGCTTTTAATATCCTTTAGATCTTAATAAGCAACTAGCTTATATCCGTAGTTTGCGTAGTATGGCGAATATTTCGTAGTTGTTGACTTAGTACTGTTATAGGCCAATTACGCTGTCGGCAAGAATTTAACCTAGTTGTCTTGCAGCTTGTTGGCGTACATTCGTAAGTACTGTTCTAATGTCTAATTCGTTCGTTCTGTCTAGCCATCTATTTTAGGGTAGAAGCTAGTCGATAGCTTCTTCTTTACTCCCAATTTTGCCAGGAATGTTGTCCAATACTTTGATGTGAACAACTTATCTCTGTCCGTGATAAATTCTTTAGGTATCCCGTGCTGGGATGCTAGTGCCTTCTAGACTTCGTACGCGCATTCTTCTGCCGTAATAGTCTCTTCTGTGGGCACGAACTTTGCTCCTTTAGTCAGTCGACATACGATCACTAGGATCGTGTCGCAAAGTCGTCTGGACCTGGGTTTAACCGATTTTGGGAGCTTCACTATGAAGTCTATCGTAACACTAGTCCATAGTCGTGTTGGTGGCGGTAAGGGTTGCAATAGTCTATAGGGCTTATGTCTCTTAGGCTTGTTCAAATAACATGCCAAATAGTTGCCTAGGGTTTCCTACACCTTCGCTCGCAAGCGTGGTATTGCAAACACCTTAGATAGTCGCCTAACTATTTCTTTAATTCCTGCGTGTCCGTACTCTAGGGACTTGTGCAGTTCCTTGACAAGGTCTGTTCTCATGCTGGGGGGTACATATGTCCTGTTTCTTTGGATCATATCCCGGTACTCCCGTTCGTTGTTTAGTAGTTCTTCGGAGCCGTTTTCCTCAGGCTCGAACTGCCAGTTGGCTGCCTTCTGCTGCCATTGCTGTTGAAGCGTTTCTACTTGCTCGGCCACCTTGGTTATCTTAGCCAGTTCCGGCTGGTTGTATTTTAGAGTGCCGTCTGCCATTTTCTTAAATACTGCATCGTGTGGTTCTTTGTGACCTTCTTCGCGTAGGTCGGACCTTCGACTTAGAGCGTCTGCTGCTCCGTTGAGCGATCCTGCTCGGTGTGTGATTTTAAAGTCGAACTGAGCTAACATCTCAGCCTATTAGACTTGTCGTTGGTTGAGTTTCTTTGTCGTCATGAAACTCGCTAGGTTCTGGTGATCAGTGAAAACCTCGATCGTGTCTAGGAGTCCTAACAGGTACACTTCCCATTGTTTAAAGGCATCGACTACTCTAAGTAGTTCCTTATCGTGAACATCATAGTTAAGTTCTGCTCCGGAGAACTTCCTTGAATGGTAGAACACTGGTCTCCATTTTTCATCTGTGCACTGCTGTGACAATACAGCTCCGAGTGCATAGTCTGACGCGTCGGTCTCGACTCTCGTCTTTCGTCTGGGGTCGTACATTTCTAGTACGGGTGCTTCGAGGAAGATTTGTTTGACTCGTTTAAACGCTTCTTGATGTTCCTCGTTCTACTAGAATCCTACTTCCTTCTTCGTGATCTCTGAGAGTGGCGCGGTGATTTTCGAATAATCCTTGATAAACTTCCAATAATAATTAGCGAATCCAAGAAAGGATTACACATCCTTAACTATTTTAGGTTTCTTCCATTCCTGTACAGCCGCGATCTTCTTTAGGTTCATCTTCACTCCTTTAGTTAAGATAATAAAGCCTAGGAATTCCGTTTCTTTAACGTGGAATTCGCATTTTCCTAGCTATAGGTACAGCTTATATTCTTTAAGTTTCCTAAGCACTTTCTTGACATGTTCAATGTGTTCTTCGAGCGTTCCTCTAGAGTACACCAGTACATCGTCCAGGTACGCTGTCGCGAAGACTCCAAGGTATTCGTGGAGAGCGTTGTTGATGACTAATTAGAAGGTTGCTAGCGCATTTATCAAACCGAACGGCATAACTATATACTTATACAGTCCGTATTTCGTTTTAAACGCTGTTTTCTATTTGTCTCCTTCCTTGATCCTGATCTAGTAAAATCCTTCCTAGACATCGAACTTTGTAAACCACTTAGCTCCTTAGAGTCGATCCATAAGCTCTGATATAAGTAGTAAGGGATATTAGTTCTTTCAAGTTACCGCGTTCAACCTTTGGTAGTCGACACATAGTTGCCACTTCTTATTAGGCTTTTTTACGAATAATATAGGCGAGGCCATTAGGCCTGATCCTGGTCGAATAAATCCCTTCTTTAGGTTCTTGCGGAGGTATTCCTTTAGCTTGGCGTCGTGCTCGGGTCCTATAGGATACATTCCTCCTGGCGTCAACTTCGCTCCTTCTTCCAGGACGATCTCGTGATCCCAGTCTTGGTGTTCAGCTAGGTCTGTTGCCTCGTTTTCTTCAAAGAGTTCCTTGAACTCGTCCGTTTGATATACATCCAGTATATCCAGTGGTAAGGGTCCGTCCTTCGTGGCCGCGACTCGTCTTATCTATATGACTCCTACTTGCTAAGGGTCCCTCGCATAGATTCTCGCAATCTTATGCGGTGAGATCTTGCCGAATCTCCCGTCCTGGGTTGTTCACTGATCCGTCGGGCGTGTCTCGTGTCGTACTCTAGCAACCTTACGCGCAGGTTCTCGGCTGAGTATTATCTTCTTTTGCCAATCGATAGCAGGGTTATAGGCCTCTAGCTAGTTATAACCAATCAATATATCAGCATCTCCTAGATCCATAATGCTAATGTTCATTTGGCTCTTGATATCGGACACTTCTAGTGTCACCGATTCTGTTTCTAGCCTTATCGTGCCGTTTCCGTATGCTACGGGTGTCTCTTCGGCCGATACTACCTGTAATGGAATTTTCTTATTCCGATAGGGTATGTTATATCTTGCTACAGCTCGGGCTGAAATCATCGTTCGCGCCGCACCGCTGTCTATTAACGCGGTCATCTAGTGACCTTGTACAAACACAGTCGTTGTGAACTCTAACTAACTACTAGTGTTTTGTACTTTCCTAAGGGTCGTTTTGGGACTGCCTTCGCCAGCGTGACCCTGTCCCTAGCGGCATCCTAGTTTTTTAGTCTAGAGATCCGTCCCTTTTCCAATCTCTTTCTTTCCTGCGGGAAATAGCCCGCGCCGTACTTGGCGTCGTAGTGTATCGTACATCTGTCGTCGTAGCAGAAGCTCCAATGGATGTTTCCGTGAGGTATCTCTGGTCTCTTGGTCCTCTTCCTTAGCTCTAGCTTCTTGCTCTTATAAATTGGGCAATCTATTGCTCTGCACAGATTTGCTAATAAAGTGCCATAGTGGATGTTGTTCACCTATTAGGCGACTTCGAGTTGTTGTTAATAGAAAGGGCATCCTTTCCTGCAATGTGTCCATGGGAGTTTCTCGTGCTCCCTTTTCTCTACTTCGTGTTCCTTATGCATTCGGCAGTCCTCTGCCTGGCATTCCTTGGGTGAGAGAGTTCCGTGGTAGTAGCTGCCTACCTGTTGTGCTTCCTTCCGTTGTTCCTGGTGGAACGCACAGTTGCTGATACAGTTTATCCAGCATAGTTCCTGGTGGGCCAGAACCTCCTGTTCCGGTCTGTGGACGTGACATTGTTCCACAAGGCATTCGTCGGCCTTTAATTGCGAGTGGCAACAATCGTACTCTTTGTACCTTGAGTTGTCCTTTTCGTTCTTGTGTTGCTTACACCTCTTCTAGGTACAGTCTACCTAGTGCAAGTCTTTGTGGGGAGCTTGCTGCTCTGGTTCTAATACTTCCGCCGTGGGGTCGTCGAAGTATGGTTGCTCGTGTATAGCCTGATAACCGACTTCCTTGGCGTTTGGTCCTGTGATCACGATTCGTGTCTAGATCGTGTATTTATTTGCCTGGTGATCCTTATTCCCACATACCTAACAGAGTTTTTTCCCTAGTCGCTCTGTTACTATTTCGTCGCTTACTTTCTAATCTGTTGGTAGGGCTTTTCCCGTAGTGATAATGTCGTCGGCCTTTAGTGGCTGTGGAATGACTTCGTAGTTTGGGCGTTCGGCCCTTCGCGCCTTATCGTAGAGGTCTAGATCACTAAGGTTGTTATTGGATTCAAGTTCATATCTTGGGTATAGTGTGCCTAGCCTAAGCATCTTGATCTTGACTATGGCCTGCTTGCTAGTTTCGTTCTTTAGACAGTCTCTGCGGAAGTGTCCTACTTCACCGCATCTAAGACAGGCTTTGTTGTCGTAGCGCTTCTGGCGCTCTTCCTTGGAAAGGCCATCGTTATTCTTTCCTTGGGGTTTCTTGTCCTTAGACTTTTCTTGTACTTTCCCAGTTATGATCGTATCGCTATCCTTGTCTTTGTTGCTACGATATTTCTTAGTGTTGGCTGTCGTGGGCTAGAAGTGCCTTTTCTTTTGCTCGCTTCGCTCCTATAGCCTGTTGTCAATACGTGTAGCAAGTTTAATTAACGCTTATAGTGACTCTAGCTTATTATAGTGTACAAGGCCGTCCTTGACGTTTTCCTTCAAACCTGCTTCAAACACCGTTCAAAGCGCTGCGTCGTCCTAATTAATCCTAGCCTAGAGTTGTTTGAACTCCGCCGTGTACGAGGATACTGATTTGGTCTGCTTTAGGCGAGTTATAGCCTTTTCTGCCTAATTCTTTGCGTCGACCTCTCCAAAGATGCGCCCTATTTCTTCCTTAAAGTTAGTCTAGCTCGCGAATAGCGTGCGAGTCTTGGTTCTAGTTCCGCGTTCCCTAATATCTGCAAGATAATCGTCCACGTATAGCTGCATCTAGTTAAAAGCTTTTCCTTTTATGTGTGAGCTAGCTATGAGAATCTTGTCCTAATTAGTGGGTACTTCGTTAAATTTGCAAAATAAGTCGATATTAGTAAGGAACATTCGCAAGTCGCTGCGATTACTATTAAATTTCTCGGGTGTCGCCATCTTAGGTTTCTTAACAGGTCTTTCGTTTAGTGTGGCCATTAGCTAGTTCGTAAGCTAATTAATCATGTCCTGCATGGCAGCTATCTGCTGCGCCTGGATCGTGGCCTGTTGCCTAAGATTCCGCAACTCCAACACATTAGGGTTAGGCTGAGGATTACCCTGGGGAGTCCCGGTCTCCTCATCGTCCTCGTCGTCACTCTGGTCCAACATTACATCGTCGGTTGTTAGTTGGGCTGCTGGCCCGGGACCCTAAACTGGTCCTCCAGCACTGGCCTGAGATTGAGAGTGGTTGTGCGACATCCTGAATCTTAATCGGGCAACCTATTGGTTAAGTTCCTTCCAATGAATCCGTGGGTGGTCAAAGTGTTACACGGGGTCTACGTTAGTAGGGGATTACTTGCCTAGTCTCGGTCCGGGTTAGGGCGAGGTAGTATGTGAAGTAAACCGTGCGGTTTGTCTGGCGATTCTGTGGAGAAGAGTTATAGGAACTTGGCTTGGTAATAACAATCTAATTCTAAGCGAATAGAATAACTAAGTATCAATCTGTGTAAGAGAAGAACTTATGAGAGAGTTGACCACAACAAGTGTAATAATGAAATCTATCCCATTCTTATACCCATTGCCTTTGGTCCTGGCATCAAGCAGACCTCCTGGAGTCACTGACTCCAGGTCCTTCCTGTGAGGACATGTCCTCACATGGACAGGGTGGCATCACTAATGCCATGGTCTTGGCGTGATGCCAATCACGTGATCGCCGCCCCGCGGTGATCATTACCCTTTGACGTGGCGTCCAATGGTCTCCAACCTGCGGCCTTCGTCCAGGAGAGATCCTTCCTTGTTACCTGTAACAAGTAGCTAGTAATTAAGAACAACCTTAGACATATATCTAAAAAAAACAAAACTAAAAACACATAAAAAAACACCTAAAAAGACAACTAAAAAAAGACTAACGTGGTTCACAAGCGAGTCGCTCACCCAAGCGAGTCGCTCACGCCCCACCAGCGCGTCGACGTCGAGACTGCAACACGTCATGTCTTAACAACGTCAACATTTATTAGCCTATCCTAAATTAGATCTTTAGCTTGCTCTTTTTAATATCCAATCGCAACGTGTTTAAAGCTAAAGACGTGCTACCTCTATCTATAACGTGCCTTAAAGAACTCTATCTAACTAACGCGCTAGAAAGCGCTCTTGACGCGACTGCGAAGCGAATTTGAAGCGCCTAAATAAGCTAGAAGAGGAGGCTATAGTTAAGCGTATTTTTGAGTAGTCTACGCGAGGATTTGCGCCTACAAAGCCTAACGTTCAAGCAATAGCTAATAAATTACTACATAAGCGTAGGAGCAACCCTATTAGCAAGAACTAGATTAATAACTTTGTTAAGAGGACTCCTAAGCTCCGCACGCGCTAGAGCCGTCCCTACAATCACCAGCGAGCTACCTGCGAGGACCTAGCAGCTATCCAGCGCTACAGTGCCCGTGCACCAGATGAGCACCATCGCCAGTTGAGCACCCCCAACAACTCAATATAGTTAACAAGATGAGGCTGCAGAGCCACCACAAATCGTAATAAAATTGCGCAAAGCTAGGATTATACTATATACAGGCCTACGAAAGTTTTGGCTTATTCAGAAATTTTTTTGGAGGGCGTTATCGGTCGTTGCCGTCGACTACGCGGTGGAGCAGCTCGTGCAACCCTTGCGGCTCCCACCACAGCTGGAGCAACACCACCACACTTTTGACGCTTTGTAGCTGGCTTATGAGGTTTTGACGCTTTGCGCTTACCCGATTGGGGCTAATTGTATAG